AAACTAATAAATTGTTGGCAATGAATGACACTAACAGATGCTTAATAGTAAAAGTGCACCTCATGAGTATTGAAAAAGGTGCATTAAAAGCTCAACAAAAAAAAAAAAGAAAACATCTATGCTAGTCAAGATAGCAGCTTTAGCACAAACATAGCCAAATTAAAGGGTAGTAAAAAGCTAAAAGTAATGGAATCGGACAGAGTACTGTAACAAGGGACAATACAACAAATTTCTTTAGTAAAAACTAAGCAAGGCACTAAATAAGATCAAACATACTCAATTTGATTAATAAGATGGCCAAATTGCAATCAACTTAAAAATAAAAATAAACAAATGTAAGCTCACATGAGATATTGCATTCTACGATTACTTAACAAATTCTAACATCCTGAATGTATGATAGCAATCAGTAGCACAACTACAGTCAAGGGGATTGTGCATGAATGCCAATCCAAAACAAGACTCCTCCACTGCAGTCGTAGTCTACTTGCTTTGCACTATGAAAAACATTGCATAAACGACGGTATTATCAAAATAAGTCAGTACATGCCTATCACAAATTAAAAGTAGAAATATACAATGTTTAAAGAATAAACAGTAAAACGCATAATTCAGAAAAATCTGTTAGTTGAAAAACTATAATTGTCAAACTACATAAGAAAGCTTAAGATATATAGAAATTACCTGCATATCACTCACAGCAGACGAACTCATACGGTCAAAAGCAGTGTCGCGACCGCTCTCTGCTTCTGTCTCTGTGTCTGTGCAATGACCATTTTCTACACCATTCAATATAGCCCCATTTTCTGTTGGTCCTGGGCCACAGCGAGGGTGCCAAATGGCACCTCCTAGGAGAGAGAAAGATTGACAAAATCAGGCAACAGGTACTCCTACTCCATTAATTCGATTTCTGTCTAAAAATATGTCTCCAAAATTATACCTTGCAAATACATTTCTTCACCATCTCCAAATGGATCACCACACTTGGTGCAACGAGCACAAGTTGGATGGAAATGATGGTTGTCACCAGCCTAGGGGTAAACAAAAAGACAGAGGACGGAATTGAATGGGACACATCGCAAACAATGACACTCACTGAGGTGACTGGCACCAACAGCAAGCAATTGACCTTGCAATTGAGGCAGCTTCCAAGACTCTCTCACCTGCAGCACCTTCCCTGAGATGTATCTATTGCAATACGCGCACCTGACTCCAAACTTCTTCTGGTAGTCCTTTTCGCAGTACGGAACTCCGTCCCTGAAACAGACACATCGTGCTCACGACAGGCGTCTCGAGCCGCAAGTGCACGCCCAGCTGCGAGTGTGTGTGTGTGTACTCACTTCCCCATGTACTCTCCGTGGAGCACGGCGTCGCAGGTGTGAAATCAAACTAAAACTTTGAAAAGAATTTAATTTCTAAGGAAAACCAAAGATGCAACAACAGTATTTAAAATTTGTGTGAATGAAAGTCATGCATAATTGCTGATAGATACTGTATGTTTACTGGGTCAAAACTAAGATTCAGTGGTGTACCATTGAAATGAAATAACCATTAAAATTTTGGACTTGATTTAAATATCTTCATCTTTAGAAATGACACATGTAAGAGATAACCCGATAACCCAAGACCAACAATCGCATGGAGAAATAGAGGAGATGCTAGTAGACATTAGAGATGAGAAATTGACAAAAGAACATTGATAATGATGACAATGATAACATCATAGACACTTTTAAAAAACACAAATCATGTATTACCATTGTAGCTAGGTATAGCCCCCACTGATCTTCCCACCGAAGAGCGGTAGCTTGAACTACGATCCAATAATTCATCCTCCTCCCAGGGTCTCGGGTGGTCCACATTTCTTGATGGAGCTAAATTATGTGCATTAGATAAAAATTAGTTACAGAACATTAAGATAACATTTTTATGGAGGAGAATTATAGATAGAGAATACCTACAGGCATTAACAGGTGACTGGTAGCGTAAATGGTACTTTGGCTCTCTGGCGGCAGAAGGTGTGCGAGAGGCATTTCTAGGATCAATGTGAGACATTTTCCACTGTCGTAATTTCTCCCTTTCACGCACATTGTGCAGGAAAACTTTCCCAATTCCTGTTGCAATTTTGCTAAGTTCTTTTTCTTCTCGCTATAACACAGCAAGAGAACAAAATCAGCTAGCGGACTTCACAGCAAAAATAAATACTTTAGAAATTCATATTTTTTAATTACTTTTAATTTTTGATCTTCTGTTTCCTTTTCTGATTTTCCATCATTTTCATCTTCATCATCAGATATTGGAACTCCTTTATAGGTATCTGACCACCTACGTCGGCGTTCTAAGATTGAAGTTAAGAGTTTTGTTACAATAAAGTATAAAATGTGTTGGGTTTTTTTTGTGTGTTTTTGTTTTTATAAAGCACATTTATAGTCTTCTATAGAGAAAAAAAACAAACGGTACAAATAACATGACAAACCTGGATCTGTGTAGGGATATGGGGGTGCTGGAAAATCTTCCCTCTCTATCTTTGGGGCTTCTCCTGGTTGAGGTGGTTTAGCTGCAGGGAAATGAGCTAGTTCTATTGGTTCTTCATTATTCATGTGAGGACTGCGTGGTCTTGGAGTCTCACTACGAATAGCGTCAACTAAGACAGTCATGCCAGTTCTAGATCCATGTTTTGAAGATAAATGGGTAAGTTTTGAACCTCGACCAGATGCAGCAGCTGATTGAGAAAGAGAAGTAAATTAATTTCACATAAAAACACGGTCAGTTAGAAGTAATAACCAATATCAACATTTAGCGTACATGATGGGCGGTGAAAATGAGGTGATGTTGGTGGTTTGTCATAGGGATCAATGGGACGCTTGAGATAACCCTGGGTAGGTTCTTCAGTCAAATAGGAATAGGTATAAATGCGAGATATATCCTCTGGATACTGGTTTTGTTTGTACTCCCGCAATATGAGTCCTGGACTTCCTGTCCTTTGGCACGGGTACTGAGAATTATGAAAAAAAAGAAAAAAACATATAGTACAAGTTTCCCATGAACTGCAATAAGTTATAAATGTTACAGGTACAACATATTGCACTTAGACAACATGATAAATTACCCTATAAAACACAACATGAGTAAAATGATCAAAAGCATTGTGAAATGCACAATAAAACAGCATGGCATAAATAGAAATTCAGTAACTAACCTTTCTAGATAAGCTATTGAAAGAGCCATTAAGACTAGGCGTGCGCGAGCGAATCGAAAACTGAAAAACAAATTTCACACAATATGACAGCCAAGAGCATAAAACAAAAACAAAACCATCTAAACCAAATCAATTGAAAAGTGCTAAAGCTGCAAGTTCTTAGAATTGAGAAAAATAAATTATGTGTTGGAAACTAATAAATTGTTGGCAATGAATGACACTAACAGATGCTTAATAGTAAAAGTGCACCTCATGAGTATTGAAAAAGGTGCATTAAAAGCTCAAAAAAAAAAAAAAAGAAAACATCTATGCTAGTCAAGATAGCAGCTTTAGCACAATCTAAACCAAATCAATTGAAAAGTGCTAAAGCTGCAAGTTCTTAGAATTGAGAAAAATAAATTATGTGTTGGAAACTAATAAATTGTTGGCAAT